TCCATGGGAGTGAACGTAAGGATGGAATGAGTCACTGACAGCTTGATATCTCTGGTTCATAGTAAAGAATGATGTATTTGTTGTGTCAACACACAGGAAACAATAGCAGGTGTGTTCAATAACTTAAAGTCCATACGAAGCCACTGAAGGACTGAATTTTTCCATTTGTGTGGCTCTGGGAGATTTGCCTGGGAGCGCATGGAGCATTTTCCATGCTTTGCCACAGGAGTTCTGCTCTCAGAGGGAACTGTGTTAATGTTCAAGGCAGAGTCTGCTCTTCTGCTGTGTAAAATGCACAGAGATCTGAAATCTGAAGGGCATTAACCTGTATTTGGGCTCCATTTCCAGGCAGTGACGTTGCAGGAGGACGGTGCTCACCCTCAAACTTGTGCTGGGGATTGTTTGCCTGCGCAGCTTTGGGAGAAGGAAATAAGTAGCTGTTAAAGCATCAGTCATAGTGAAGCAGATGAGAAAGTTCTCCTGTTTTGTTTTATCCTCCACTGAAATGGGAGAAGGGGGAAAAAAGAAAGAAATGGGGTATTTAACAACATCCCCAGCTACATCTCTTAACTGTGGGAACCGTACAGGGATGGTGTATTGAAAGAAATAGCATTGGATGTGAAGGGCTCAGTGTCCAGGCAGAGGGAAATGCTGTGGCAGTGCCACCACTTCTGAGCACTGATGTGGAAGAATTAGCTTTGTCACTGCTGTGATATTTTTTTAATGAGACAGAACTGTGGCTCTGTCACTGCTTATTAAAACCTCTGTAAGTTCACATGCACCGACAGGGGGATGAGGTGAGAACATTGCATGAAGTGCACCATCATCAAAACAAAACTCAGCTCTTTCTTATTTATTTTTAATCTGTTACAAGCACGTGAATGACTCTTTCTATTATTTATGCTCTGGGAATAAAGGATGCTGTTCTCACAGGCTCTGCTTTCAGCTTCAGCTCTATGGGTCAGGGAAAGTGGTCACATTGCTGCCACCCAGGAGAGAGGTGACTGCATGGAGCTGGGCATGATGGTGTGATTCCTCCCAGACTGCACCCATCCATGCAAAGTGTTCACCACCAGCAGGGCTGGATTAGCAGGATAACAGCAGGCAGATGGTGTGGACCTTCCCTACATAGCAAGGCTTTGGCCATGCTGCCAGGGAGCCCCAAATCCACCGCCTCCAGGTGAGCACTGACCCTTAAGGATGGAGGGAAGGTGGGGACGATTTGAGTTTGTCATCTCAAAATGCACATTTCTGTTACTAACGAGCCACGATGTCATTTGAGTTTCAGGGTCCCACTGCTGTCACCTGGGGTGGATGTGGAGGATCCTGAGGTGGATGTGCCTCAATCTGGGGCTCCAAGCGGTCGTTGTTATCACAACCTCACAGCAGCGCTACAGAAAAGCCACCGTGCTTAAAGAGGTGATGATTACAATTGCAAAACCAAATACCTGTTGCTCAGAACGACCAGAATTTCAGCTCAAGCAGGCAGAGCGTGTGCTGCAGTCAGCAGGCTCGGCTGTGGGCAGTTTGGAGCTCTCTGCCTGCATCCCATCCCTGCTCACCCCATCCCTGTGGCTTTGGGTTCACGCTCAGCTCTGTGCCCGCTATGGGGTGTCAAGGAGGTGGGGCAATTCCTGCTGCTGTGTTGAGAGCTGCCAGCGCTGCAGACGTTGCTGCAGTACAAATAATTGCATCAACAAAACGATTTCTAAGTCCTCATAGCACTGTGTGACCTTTGCTTCTCGTCCCCAAATGGATTTCCTTTTCTTTTCTCGAGGCCTTTGGAAAAATCTGGCTCCTTCCACGATGACTCAGAGAAGAGGAAATGTGATCCCTGCTCCGTGTGCCACCCCAGGACAGAGCAGTGCTGACACCATCGCAACCTTCCCCCAGAGAAGCTCTGGGAGGGCTGGGGCTGATCCTTCCAGGTGTGCTGGCGGAGGAGATCTGGAGGTCTCAGTGCCCCTCATGCTGTCTTGGCCCCATCCTCCCAAGCCCTGCCTGATCAGATCCCCTCTCAGCCTTCTCTTCTCCATTGCGAGGATGGATTATCCTGTGTCTACAAAGAGGGTATGACTTTGTATCAAGTGGGCACGGGGATAAGGAGGGTTTGGTGCTGGCTTTGGGGTGGCTTTGCTCCGATGTTTACCTCCAAAGCACGGTGCCTGGTGTCGGTGCTATCATTGGATGGGTGCCCTGTGGTGGATGGAGGGCTGCCCCTCCGTCAGCACACCAGAGCCATCACAGTACCCATCTGCAGGCAGCCCCAGAACAGAGATCCAGGAGGAAGCACGGATGGACCACAGCATTGCAGCACAGCTGGGTTGGAAGGGACCCCATGGCCTCTCAGCTCCCTTTGTCCCCTCCCATCCCCAGTCTGCAGGCTGTGCTTCAATGCCCAGTGCTTCAATGGCACTGAAGGGAGCGAGGTGGGAGCTCTGCACAGAGCAGCGCTCCTGTAACCCCGTGCAGGGACCCAATGCAGTGCAGACAATGCGTGCTTTGTCCACTCCTGTTCTCCCAGTGCTGTGAGTGCAAACACTGAACGCACAACGCGTTAATTACCGTCCAGCTCCCCGGGGTAAGGCCCATATGCCAACAACCAGAGCAAAGCATGGGAAGCGCCGCGATCGTTAAGTGACACTGAGCTGCAATTACTTCTTGATGAACGCTTCCGAGAAACACACAGTGGAGCAGCACCAAACGTGAGGCTGTGCAGAAGACGAGAGAGAGCAAGAAATCTTGGGGTGGAGCCCACTCACCAAGCAGTGATGCTGTGTGAGCTGTTGGCATCCAACTCACAGCGTTGGCTTTGGGCACAGCGCTGCGTGATGCTGCATCCTCAGCTGCTCGCTGGGCGCCTGCAGTTGGTGCTGAGATTTGGCGTTCACCCCGACAAAGAATGAGCTGCCTGAGGACAGCTGGCTGCGTGCTGCAGCAAACCGCCAACTGTCTGACACACAGACAGACAGACAGACGGCTGCTCGCCTCCACGTGGATGGGGTGGGCATGGAGCTTTGGGAGCAAGCACTGCTCAATGCGGAGATAACGACACAAAAATGAGCGCTGCCAGAGCAACAAAGCAGCCCAACCCGGTGGTGGGGGATGAATGCAGCCCCACATCTCTCCCTGTGCCCATGCAGGGCTGAAGGGAGCTGGTGGCTGTGCAGAGAGGGCACTGCTCCTGCTGTGCCTCTGTGGGGCTGTGTGTTGCCTACAGCCCAGCCCGGGATCTTGAATAGCACTGGATGAGAGCGCTGTGTTTTTCACCCAGGTGCTGTGGTTTCTGCCCTTCTTTTATAGGTGCCTGTGGGCAGGTTCATTGCTCAGCCTCACCCACCCTTGCTCGGAATTGTTCTGCCAAAGCCAGCCAAGTGCTTGCAGGCTTCACTCAGTGCCATTCCTTCCTTACCCGAGCAGCTCCAGAGCCAGGGTGGGGATATGGGGTGGGGGGTGTGTGGGGTGGGGTGTGGGGTGGGGGTTAAGGTGCTGCCCCACGCTCAGACACACAGCGCTGTGCTCCAGCTCAGCACCCACCTCCTCCACTTGGAAAGCTCAAGATGGAAAACCGCTGCGTAAAGGCCGAAGTGCTGAGAAGTGAAACAATGGCACACTGTGCTGCAGCCCGGCCAGAGGGAAATAAGGCTCAACGCAGCATAAAATAACACGGAGGGAGCGACCTGCTGCTCCGTGCGGAGGTGGGGGGTCGGCAGCGCTTTGTTCCGGCTCCTGGGCTCTGCGCAAACAGAGTCACTTCACTTTTTCTGACTCGTTTCTCGCAGCTGGAGGAGGTGGGAGAAGCCGCTGTGTGCCCGGTTGTTTATTTTGTAAAGCTCGGATAAATGAATTGCGGGTACGATTGCAGAAATCTGCCAGAAAGTAAGCGGCAATTAAGAGAACGGGGAAACAATTGGGAGCGTTCAGAAACTGCTGTGAGACGGAGGTCTGTTTGAATGGGGAGGAGGAGGGGCTCGGGAGGAGGCCGCTGGAGATCAGGAAATTGTCATCTGAAAGTCAAATAACCGAAAAGACGTTGAGCGGCAGGCAGGGCCGTGCAGTTGGATGGCAGCAGTGCTCAGCCGGTAACACCACGTGGACTCTTTTGTTGGAGGAGGAATCCGGCGGCAGAGCTGGCAGCTCGTCGTGCTGCTGCAAACCGTCAGCATCAACGCTGCCCTGCGCGGCCCCGGGGGGGGGGGGATTTTAGGGGAGGTGGGGTGGAGTTGCTGCTTCGCGCTGCTCTCCGAAGGATTCGCTGCTTCAAGGAGGGCTGCCACAAACCCCCCCGGTGTGACGCAGCCCATGAGTGAGTTTGGGGCTGTCGGCACAGGAGGGGCGGAGCGGAGCTGCTGGCTCTGGGACCCTCAGGGCCCCTTTGGGAGGCAGTGGGGGCACAGCTCCCACCACCCAGCTGTGTGCTGCGGCTCGAGGCGTCCCCCCCCGCCCCCCCCAGCCCTGCTCTGATGAAGGCGGCCTTTGTGGCACAGTTCTGCCATTAATTGCAGGCGGAGGTTCCCGGGCAGGGCCGGGCGCTGTTTGGTTAGGTGACACCTCCACCCCGCTGTCCCACCCCGTGAGTCACGGCGGTTCCTTGGACTCTGTAAAACAAACAGGAAAACCTCCCGCCGGCGGAGAGGGCCGCGAGGAGCCGGAATGCGCTATTTTGAGGAAAACACTGGAAAAGGGCGCACGGTTTAATTTCATTCCGCCGCTCCTCCCAATCCTCAGCCCTTGGCCTGAATAGCTCGACAGAAACTAGGCTGAAGCTCGGCTCCCCGCCCCTCGCTCTCCCCCCGCCCGGCGGCGCGCACGGAGCCGAGCCCAGCGATGAGCTCAGCCGCCCGCGCCCACCGCGGCGCCCCGAGCGCTGCCCCCGCCCGGCCCCTTTAGCCCCGCCCACACATACCTTAGCCACGCCCACATAGCCAAACAGCCACGCCCACAACGCATCGGGCCCCGCCTACATTTGTATTGTCCCCGCCCATTTCGACGTTAGCCCCGCCCCCCATCGCTAACCGCCCCGAGTTCAGCCGCGCTTCCACACCGTTGGCCCCGCCCCCTTTCTGTGACCGCCTCCAATCAGGTCACGCCCTCCGGTTCTGGCTCCGCCCCCATTCCCTGCCCCGGGGCGCTGTGCGTCGTAGCGCGGCGCGGGGCGGGCCGCAGTCGCGCGGCGCGGGCGAGGCGAACGGCGGCGGTCCCGTCCCGGCGGCGGCAGCGGGCGAGGCGAGAGGCGGCGACGGTTGCAGCATGGCGCTGTCCGTGCCGGTCAACGGGCTGAAGGAAGGCGATAAAGAACCCGTCATCGAGCTCTTCGTGAAGGTACGGTCCGGGCGCGGCTCGGGGCGCTCCGGCCGTTGGCCGCCCGCTCGCTCGCTCGCTCTCCCCGCCGCGCTCCTCCCGCCCCCGCCGCCGTTCCCCGTCCTGGGCTGCGCGCCGGGAGCGCCGCGGGGGCGCGGGGCGGCGGCGGGTGACGCCCGTGGCGCCGCGCGGGGCGGCCGCGCACAAAGGGCCGGGATGGGCGGGGCGAGGCGGGCGGCCCCGTCGGTCCCATCGGTCCTATCGGCCCCGTCGGCCGTCGGAACCCGAAGTAACGCGACGCTTCCCGTCCTGCGGGGTCCGGCGGTGCCGCTCCGCTGTTCCGTTCGGTGTCGAAGTACCGGGGAGATGAGCGATGCCCTCGTTCTTTCCGCTCCGGGCTGCTTTGAATAGAGCCGCCCCAGAAACAAAGCGCCTTGGTGCTCGCGTTGAACTTTCCGAACGGTGCCGTAACGCGGCGATGCGGCGCCTCCGGTTGTCGGGAAGCGTTCGGTGTCAGCGCCCCGAGTTCGGTGTCACCGCCGGGATCTGCAGCGTGCGGCTCGGCGGGGACTGGGAGCTCTGCCGGGTGGTTGGGATCCTCAAGGGTCGGGTGTTGCCCTTTTCGGGCTGTGAGTTTGCTGTGCGAGGGGCGTTTCGTGCGTGAAAGAAAGCAAAATCACTTCTTAAGCAAAAACGCGTGGATTCAGCTCGGTGTTGGACCAGCAGAGGTGTTGGTGTCTATGAAAGGGGGAAAGCAGGGAGCGTTTCTGGCACCCTTGGCTGAAACTTCACCAGCACGGGTGTACGAGGGCTGTGCTCATGGACCGGCCCATGCCATCTCCCTGGAGGAAGCCTTTCTGCAGTGCTGTGAGCTGCCTGCCTTCGGGACAGGGTTCAGGTTAGGAAGCATTTGGGCTTGTTGGCCCTTCGTGCTCTTCAGGTAAGGGTTGTTTCCCTGGAAAATCCTGCAAAGGAAGAACACCTCCACCCCAAAGCTGCCCCGGCAGTTGTTGCTGGGCGTTGCTGCCTGTCCCACGCCGCACTGATGCTGTTCAGCCTTATGGCAGCGGTGGTTTTTGTTTGCTGTCCGCCTTGCCAAGCTCATCCCTCCATGCAAATGCAAGCAGCGTAATGAAAAGACGCTCACAGTGTCTTCCTTGAGGAGCGCTAGATTTTGGTTTAATCTCTTTCTGTCAATGGGAAGCGCAGCGTCTGTGTTTGTTTCACAGCTTTCTGCTGGTTCCGGGAGCAGTCTGGCAGAGCCTGCAGTTACTGAGCGAGAGTTAGAAAGGGTTTGTTTGAAGTTCTCTGCATTGCGCAGCACGTGGGCTCTCGGTTCTGCCCCAGCACAGTCAGCCAGCAGCTGTTCCAATGGGGCAGCAGGACTTTGTGACCAAGGGGAGAAATCCGTGCCAAATGTCTGCAGCTGAAGGAGGGCAGCAACTGCGTGACCTGAGCACAGGGTGTTGCAGCAGGCAGTGGTTAAAGCTGGGTGAGCAGCACTGTGGAGCAGGGGGAGCTGCTTGGCTTCGTGCCCAAGGTGTGGGGGTTGAATGCTGTTAACCCTGTGGGGTGGGCACGCCGTGAGCCTTCAGTTGTGGGTGTATGGGGCTGCTTGATGCCCGCAGCTCCTTTGGGCTGTCTGTTGTAAGTGGTGTTTTCATAGGCTGTGATGGAGGATGTGCAGAAGAAGGGGACTGGGGTAAGGAGGCGCTTTCTGTTAAGGTGCTGGGATGGAGGTAATAATGTGTTCCTTGGGCTCACAATGATGAACTTGAGGGGCTGTTCCATGGGGCTGCCTGTAGCCTTTTTAAAACTAAGTGCAGATATTTTCCAAGTCTTTCCTCTGAGAGCTGGTAGGGGGAACCCAGTGATGTGTCGGATTTCATTTTGTTTCCTCGTATGTGTGCGTGTATTATTAATGGGGAGGCTCGATGATATGCCCTGGTGGCATTGCAGAGCAGTGAAAACCACATTGCCACAAATTCAGGCGTTATGATCTGAATATTACGCACACAGCTCGTTTACAATTGCAATTTAGGAGCTCAAATGTGGATTTTCACTGTAAATAAAAAGCGTGCCCGATTGCTTTGGTCAAACAGGACAACTCATCTGTGGAAACCACAGGACGGAGCCTGTGTACAAAGGAGGTGGGGATGGGAGCTGCCCGCAGTGTGGCCTTTGGCATCCCAGAGGGCAGGGAGGGATCAGTGCTGGTAATAGCAAGGTGACAGCAGGTGAGTGAGAAGGAAAACCCAACCAACAGGAAGTCTGTGGTCGTCTGTCTGCTGGCAGGAGGCACTGGGATGTAGCAGATGTAGGTGATCACTGAGGAATATTCCATCTTCACCCATGCAGCACATGCAGTGCTTGTCAATTAATTAGACCTTGGCTATCTGGCAGCTTTCTATGGGGCGTCGTTGAGAAATTGGGCACCTGCTTTGACAACCAGATAGTTCTGGTGCGTGGCACGCTGTTTGCCCATGGGTTGCTCTGCAGAAAACAGCTGTGAATTCACACTTAGTAAATATCCCTCACCAACTCCCAGCAGTTGTGAACCGCACGGGAATTTGGCATCTTTGTGCTGTGGGATGCAGGCCTGTTCACACTGAGCTCATGGCAGGAGGGGATGCACACCAACGTGTGCTTTGTCTGAATTACAGCTCGTCCATGGGAGGAAGCAGCAAAGCTGGAGGCACAGCATGGCTTCCCAGCAGTGCTCCTGTCAGGGGCAGGCCTGCTGCTTGATAATCCTGTTAGGTGAGGCTCTTCCCTATGCACAAGATCACCTTTTGGAGGTTTTAATGCAATAAGTTCAGCACCTGAGAACGTCTCAGCCTGTCCATTGAGTGCTTTGCTGTCTGCATCCCTGTCAGCTGCTGCACGGCCATTGGGGTAGGCCCTGTGCTGGACTGGAAGCTTTCTCCTCCTTTAGACAGCAAAGCAGTGGGAAGCAGGCCTAAAAAACCATCTAGCCATAATTCCTCCAAGGATGGCACTGAGGAGGGGTGGTTTTTTTGGTCAGGATCTGCTGATGGTGGGCCCTGAAGGAGCCACGGCCACAGCGGTGCCATGGTGAGGGGTGCAGCTCCACGTCTGTGGGCCCGGGGGGAGACGTGCTGCTTGTGACTGAGTGGGAAAAACAGAATGAGAATCCTCTTCAAGGAGCTGGGCTGCTGGGAGGTAAAGGTAGCTGGTGGCTGAGAGGCAGAGGTGAGGAATGGCGGTGTGGTGATGCTGTGGGTGGGCATGGAGCTGTGGGTCTGCAGCTCCCCTTCCTCACCGGCTGGTTTTGAGGGCTGCGTTGGCTCTGGGAGCCCAGCCAGGGAGTTCGTCGGACTTTCAGCTGAATGCCAAGCAGTGGACTTCGCACTCGGGGGTTGCAAGCACAAACTTCACGTTATAAAAAGAGGGGAAGAGATTTGGGAGCTCCATTCTCTCCAATGTGTGCGTTTGGCTTCTCTCACACCAACCGTTCTGTGCAACGCAGCGTCACGAGGCCTGCACTCTTTTACACCAACACTTCACAGTTAAAACACCCCAAACAGGATCGCTTTGTCTCCATAGGAGCTTAAACAGAACCTTGACGTCAAAGGGCTGTAAATTCTTTACTCGGAATGTTGTTCTTTTCCTCTGAAAGATAATGGTTAATTTCTTTAAGCTTGTTTTGATTTTTTTCTTTTTTTTTCCCCAGCTCAGGTCTGACACAGTCTGATTTTTAGAGCTTAGAATGCTGTGTTTGTTTATGCAGAAGTTAAAAGCATAAGCTAAGCTGCTATTAATTACAGCCTTCTTTGTGTGTGAGTTCTCCAGGAGTTCAGCCTGATTCCTCGTATTGTTGGCCAGACAAAGGGCAAGGAGCTGCGCGAGGAGAGGAAATGACTGCGTTCTGTGCACTGAATGTCCATATTAGGTATAAACTAAATATAGGAGTGTAATCCAGGAGTGAAGTCATATCTGTGTATTTTCATGGGAAGAGCTAATGAGATCAGTCAGTGCTACTGGATCGGCTTCAGAGCTTTTTGGCTCCCTTAAAGAATGACTATTTTGGCTAGACTTCGGTCTGTGCTTTGGAGGGCTGCTATTTTTAAATGAAGGAAATCGTTTTTTTTGCATGGTTTTGTCTAAAAATAAAGTGAAAGCACAAGTACATTGCTGTGGTCCTTCGAAGGGATGTTTTAGCTGCCCTAGTGTGGCACTGTGCTGGATCCTAACGAAGGAGGAAGCTCTGCTCTGCAATGAGGAGCTGGGATCCTGGTGCTGAGGGATGTGGGATGCGTTCGTGGATGGCACTGGAACCAGAAGCAACAGCAAGCAAGCCTCCCTGCAAACCTTCATGCTTTAGCAGCTCCAGAATCAAGATTCCAACTCCTGTTTCAGCCTGAGACGATGTTTTCTCCTTGCTGGAGCATTTGAGTGCCCTGTTAGCAGGGGGTACCGTTCAGAACTGCAGCTCTGCTTCAGTGAGTTTTGAGAATTTGAGCAATGTTTTCATTGCTAGGCAGTTCTTCCATGGCTATGGATGTTTTCTCTCTGGTTTGGTTTTTTGGCAGTTGGTTTTTTAGCTGTGTTGCTGCTTTCACACGTCAGAACTCCCTGGTGATGGATTTTCTATAGAGAAACCCATGGTACTGAATATTCAACAGCCTAATTGGCAGCTTCATACTTAATACTGCAAGGATGTCATAGCAGATGTCAGTGGATTTGGACACGTTTGTCTTATCTGGGTTTGTTACAGCTGAATCACTTTGTTAAACGTATTGCCTTGGTAAAAAGGGGTGGAAAAGGTGAGCTTGCTTATTTTTCCTACATCAGATCAGGAGAGAAAGTCACGTGTGAGCTATCTATAGTAACCCCAAGTTGTTGTATTCATGACATCAAGCTGATTTCTCCACTGAAGAAAGTGATGGATCGTATCTAATGCACGTTTTGATCTGATTCTCCCAAAGGATGAAGTGGGATGATGTCTTTTCTCCAAAGCTCATAAAGCACTTAATTAATTTCTACCAAATCACAAAGTTACTTTCATACATCCTGAAAATCCTACAGCTTTTTTTCCCCAAAAGCTTCATGCTAAAAATCAGGTAGCGATAAGCAAGAGCTGCACGAAGCTCCCCGAGTCAAATCTGCTAATAATTTGGATAGGAGTGGCACCACGAGGCTAAATACAGCTTCATCCTAAAATGGTCACTGCTGTGCGAGTCAGATGTGTGGCACAGGGGCTGTTTGGATGGGCTGATAAATGTTTCCTGGCGTGATATTCAGAGCTCACAGGGAGCTCCGTTTGTTCATTCATTCATTCTGAAATGCTCGTGGAGTTTACGTGGATGTTGGCTGATGTGGAAATTGGTGATAAATCAGGTGAAGGTGACGCAGCTCCCCGAGAGCCAGCGGTGCTAAGGTTGCTCTTCCCCTGGGTGGGGTGGGTGCTGATCATCAGATGGGAACCACAAATTCATCATGGCAGACTTTTGTATTGGCAGATCGTTCCAGGTATGAGCACAGCTAACCTGGTGGAGCGTTACCAAGCTTTAAATTCCCATATAAAGGTTGAAGAGAGGGGTGCTGCTCATCGGTACAACTCGTATGGGGATCACTTGTGCTGTCCCACTGCTCTGCCCCAGGTGGTGCCCGCCCACCCCTCCTCCTGCACATCTTATCTGCAAGCCTTGCCCTGCAAGCAGCACGGAATTCTGTTTATCCAGCTTGGTGAGATAAAGGCTGGAGCTGAGCTGGAAGGATTGGGGCTGATACAGCTGGGCTGTTCTCTGTATTACGTGGGGAACGCCGGACCGCTCCTCTCCGCATTTCTACCCCTGGGCTTTGAGCTGCTGTGTGGTTTTTCACTTGGATCACTTTGTTAGTTCCCCATAAACAGTTTGCTTTTAAAACACTGCTCCGGATGGGATTATTTGCTTATTTTTTGGATGAGCTCACTGCTCATGAAACATGCAGCAGCGATTGTTATCTGCTCTCTGGGGCCGTGGGCATGCATCGTGCTGCTCTTCTCATGTCGTCTTCCCAGCACAGTATTTTCTTAGTTAAACCTGAGATACAGATTGCTGAATTCAAGACCTGATCTTTTATTATTATTATTTTTTTAGTCTGTTTGCTTGAATTTCCATCTATTGCAGTGGAGAAAATGGCTCTGAAGCAGCTCTTGCAGAGACATCAGGCAACCCATCCCCCTGCAGAAGAAGTCCATGTGTGTCCCAAGGAGCAATGCATTGCCTTGGCAGCACAGTGCTGCTCCCAATGACCCAGCATGGGGGTCTGAGCAGCAGCTCCTGCTGCATCCAATGCAGGAAGATAGGAACAGGCCTCTTGGGCAAGCACTTACAAAGCAGAATCCCTTGCCTCAAGAGCATTGAAGCCAGAAGTTTCTTGGCGTTCTGACCGCATTCCTTTTCCAGTATGTGCTCAGAATAACTTGGGACTTTTTGGAGCAGAAGTGGGACAACCCTTTGAATGCAGATAGAAAAGTCTGTGCTTCGTTAAGCTGTTCAGTTGCAGCTTTGGAAATGCATTCTGTTAAGTTGCTGTTGGTTGGTGGGCTGTAATCCTTTTTTTTCTTCTGATTCAAGCAATCTAAGAAGCCCATAATGCTCAAACAGAAGTAGATGCTATCAAATAGTTTGGTCATTTTGAATATTCTGCTCATGCTGGAGAGAAGAAAAGTTTCAATACAAGTTGGTATTATGGCATAAATGTGTTTGACCTTTTTTGGTCCTCATTGGAATGGCTTTGGGATTGGCTTAGGAAAATGGGCCTTGCTGAAAGCCATGGCTCTGTGCTGTGCCATGAAGTGCCAACTCTTTTTTTTGTTCCCAAAGCACTTTTGCTTCGGGTTCCAGATGGCCCAAGATTTCATTTGTAGCACAACGATCCACACCGCTCCTTGCATCGGAGAGTGCTTTATTTCACCTGTGATCCTTCAGTCTTCCCCTGGAAATAATAGAACCCCGTGGTGATAAAGAAGACATGGGTGCAGGTGAGACGAGAGCTCAGCAGCATGTGCTGTGTTAGCCAGCTCTGCTGGCTGGCTTCGGTGTCAGAAGTGCTGAATTAAAGATGAGTGAGCAGAGCTCTGCATCCTTAAGGGTGGAATTGTGGGCTGAGCCTGGCGTCATGCTTGCTCACAATTGAAGGCTGAGCTGGGTTCTGTATCATAGAATCATTTCTGCTCCACGGTGTAAATTAGTCTGGGAAGTAATATATATCCACAGAGATAGGTATATAGGTGTATTGCTCAGGGTGAAATGGGAAGCAGGAATACACTCACTGTGCAGCAGCTCCCATCCTTACAGTGGTTGTGTGCACAACAGAAAGCTGTGCGTTGAGCTGAGTGCTGGCTGCTCTCTCTCATCAGTTTGTGATGCAGAGCAAAAAGCAAGCACAAAACTCAGCAACTTTCCTTCTTCAGATGTTCATTGCTGGAAGTAATAAAGGTTTGGAGAAAAATGGCTGTACGTTGTCCATAACAAAGCACGAATTGAGGGTAGCAGAGATCAGTTTGAATCCTTCTGTTCTGGTGGCAACTTCCCTGCTGAAAGGGATTTGAATTTTTTCAAGGTGAAAGATCTTTTTGAGTTTAAGCCACTCTGGATGAAAAGCTTTCTTCTTTCCCTGCCCTTTGGAAGTGCTGCTGCTCAGTTCTGTCACTTGCACAGTCTGTGCTCTCCCCACTGGGGCCCCTCTTAGAGGCTGGGAACTGGCAGAGAGCTGGAGAAAAAGCAATTCCTTTGGTGAGTGCCCAGACCTTCCTCTGCTTCTGTTTAAATGGATCTCTACCACTCAGTGCCCAGGCTTTGCATTCAGCCCTTCCAGTCATCTGCCCTGCATTTCACATCATTGTTTGGTGCACTGTGTCAGAGGAGGGCAGTCAGTGTATCCTACAATATAATAACAGCAGCAATGGAGGAATCAGCACATGCCTGAAGACCAGGTTGACTGAAGTCATTCTTGGAAGCGTTCTGATAACAATACACAAAATCCTGTAGTTGGTTTTTTTTTATATACAGCAATCTCAACTCCTGAACCAGGGCTCAGACTTTACAACAGGACTCAAGGTTTCCACTGTCTGCTTCCATCCCCACTGCAAACTCAGATTTTCCAGCTCAGCTCTACACACTGCACTGTCAGGGCAGCGATGGGATGTGTGCCATGGCCAGCTGCCCTGGGGTTGCTCACTGCTCTTATACAATAACCTTTCTTGTGGCAGCACTCGTCGATAAGTTTCCTATTAAAAAATATCTTTGGAATATGAGCAGCAAAGTTCCAGTGTGCACAGCTCTGTTCCTCCTTGTAACAGCCTTTGGTAGAGCCGAGGTTTGGAGCTGCTGCTTGCAGTTGGCTCGCTGCAGTGCCATGCAGTGAGATGAGCAATGGACTGGAAGATGGCTGTAATTAATTACTGTGCCTGGGGAAGGAATCGATCCAACAAACGACGTTGGAAAACTGCTGTTGAATGTGTGGTGAATTGCACTGCAGTCGTAGGTATATCTGCTACCAAAACAACGTGGTGGGAAGATCCAAGAGGAAAACACACAGAAATAAAATAACAGTGGCCCAATGTGTGAAGTGTGTTGTATGCTCTGAGGGTGCTTATCTTTGTGTGTTGCAAAGGGTACTTTTGGGTGCTCTGTTCAGTGCACTGGGAGTGTTCCTGCTGTGTGCTCTGCTGTTTGGGAGGGCTGATGTTGTGCAGGCAGCAATGTTTGTGATTTGCTACTGAGTCTGTCTCTACACGAAGGGCTTTGAGTACCTGTGTATGTGGCACTGTGGCACCTTCTAACAGCTCTGATCTGCTCTCTTTCTCCTGCAGGCTGGCAGCGATGGGGAAAGCATAGGAAACTGCCCTTTCTCACAGAGGCTCTTCATGATCCTTTGGCTGAAGGGAGTGGTGTTCAGTGTCACAACAGTTGACCTGAAGAGGTAAGGAACGCTTGGTGCATCTCAGGAGCAAGAGTCCAGTGTTTGCGTGGGGCTTCTAAGTCTTGCATGGCTTTCTGAAACATTATATATATGTTATATATATATAATTCTTAGAAATACTCAGCAACAACCATGGTGTAAATGTTAGTAGTGTCTATAATTATATCATACTCATAGAATGGTTTCAACCCCCTGCTATGTGCAGGGTCAGCAGACCAGGCTGCCCAGAGCCACATCCAGCCTGGCCTTGGATGCCTGCAGGGATGGGGCATCCACAGCCTCCTTGGGCAACCTGTTCCAGTGCCTCACCACCCTCTGGGGTGAAAAACTTCCTCTGTTCTTCTCCTGCAAAGCCAATCAGTAACGTGGGGTCTCTGCAAGCAAAGCATTGCAGGTTGCAACTTTGACCCAGTGGATGCTGGATAACTGTCACAAACAATACCATGCAGCCACCCTTCTCTTTAAGGATATTAAGGTGAGGTTGGTTATCGTGCAGTGGGAGTATAGGAATGGCACAGTGCTGCATGTCACCTGAGCTGTAACTTCTGTATCTATGGGAGGAATACCTGAATGGGTGAGAAGGGAGATGGAAACGGAGGAATCTCAGTTTACTGAGGTTGGGTGTGCTTTTATTAGAAGTAGTAATGCCCCGTTCAGCATCTCTCTGCTTCTCTGTGATGGGAACAGTGTTTGCACAGCATCATTGTGATGTCAGGGACTGAACTCTCTGGAGAGGAGGAACTGCTCGTGCACACAAAGCTTATTTTTGGAAATGAAGCCAATAGGAATGCAGCATTCTCCAAAGAACTGAGTGTAAAATGTGTGAATCCTGCTGGACTTGCTCTCTTCTTTTAATCTGGTTTTGAAGGGACTGACTTGGTTTGCTTTCCCTTCAAGCAATAACGCATCCTCCACTCTCCCCCTCCGTTTTGACTCTGACAATGCTGGTTTTCAATTACCAGTATTACCTAATTCTCTGCCGTAAGACTGGGGCAGACCACTCCAACAGAGGGTAAAAAAGAGCAGCTTTTGTCCATTGTTTGCAGCTTTTAGATGCTCTCTGGCCAACGTGGGGTATTACTGCAGATGTAACTATTGTTGGATGGGGAAAGCACAGAATGAGTGCAGGAATAGGTCAGGTGAGCTCTGTATTTTGTTGCACACTGAACATCTTCTGGTGAAGGATGGAGTGCTGAGGCTGATTCAGGTTTGAATAGAGGGTGATGCATACTTGATTTCTTTTAGTAGAGCTTTGGAAGAGGGAGAGACAAACAGAACTGTTCAGGATGGTTTGATACCCCATTGCAGTGCATTGCAGAATGCCAGCTGCTCGAGTGGAAATGTTTTATGGTGGTTTGTCCCCTGTTAGCATTAGCAGAATGTGATAAGTGCTGGATAGGCTCTGTTTTAGCACTTCTAATGTTGTCGTAGGAAACTGACTTCACAAATCCATTGTTCAAGCTAATTACTGTGTTGTTTTTCTTTATCCTGTTATAGGAAAGCAAACTTGTTTGAGAAGTGGATAGCAGTGTGCTTTTTGCATCTGGATTTATTTTGCTAGCCAAAAGGCAGCATTCCCTTGCAGAGCATGCTTCAGCCTCAGTGTGACTTCATTCAAGGGTAAAAGCAGCTCTGTGCAGCTCCAAAGGTCAGGGCTGGATGTAACAGCTCACAAGTTAACAACTTGGGATGCTGGAAAAAATGAGTCTGGGTTCATTGACTTTGTGACATGTACTTTTCCCCTACATACTTGCACTGAGCATCACGCTGCACTCACAGAGAACATTTTGCAGCCCTCAGTTCTCCTACGAGGACACAACATGGGCACATGGGCAAACAAAGTGGGAAGTCCAGCTCTGTCGAAGAAATAACGCATTTCTTCCCTCTGTGTGGTCAGACAGAGCCTTTATTCTTTCCCTTCACAGAAGCAGCATTTCATCTGATCTGTGCTGCTGACGAGCAGAGTTACAGTACATAAATCAGCCTGAGAGCATTGTTGGGCTTGTAGCAGCACTCAGGGTCGGGCTGCATTCAGTTGGGTTTCGAAATCCTATTTTGAACGTCTCGATTGTGTCGTTTTTAGTTGGCAGATGAAGATTAAATAGATAAGTAAATATTAAAGACTGGCCAGGGCTGAGTGCACCTTCAGCAGCGTGAAATGCTGCTTAGGAACTGGTGGCAGTGTTGGGTTTGGGTTTGTTTCCTGCTGGTGTTTTCTTCACGTTGCTCTTTGGGCTCTCGTTTCAGTACGAGTTATAAATCACAGTAGTGGACAGCAGTGTGCATCACTGATGTGGGAGTTGGACCTGGTGACCCTTTAGGGTCCTTTCCAACTCAGACAATTCTCTGATTCTTTGTCATATTTAGGGCTGGCTTTTGCCTGATCTTCAAGAAATTATTGAAACAATGAGTGTTGCTCTGGTTTGTGGCAAAGGCACAGCCTGCTTGTGGCTATTCTGTAACCAAACAGTGATGCTGAGGAGTTTGCCCATGTAGTTAACTAGTGATAGCTGGGTGTCCAAGCCTGTGCTCCTACCTCCAAACATCACTGTGAGCTTTGGGGCAGGTGCTATCTGCCATGGCATTGCTTGGAGTGGTTAAAGAACACTTTTCAACAGCCCAATTTCATCTCTGAAGTGAACATCGCTGTAATATTTTTAATTCACGTTTGGCTGTGAAGAGAAATTGCACTTTCCCTTAGATTTCAAGGGTGTTCCTTCACTCTGCAGTAAGCCAGGGTTTGTTACATGTCTGCTGGGGAGTCAGACCCAAACTGGGGGCTCAGACCCAGCAGTGGGGGCTGTGCTTTGTTAACCTCTGCTTTCTCTGACAGATGCACACAGCCCAAGTGAGTGCCAAGCGGGGTTCATGACATATCAACCCTTGGGATACACACTCTGATGCTTTGGAAAAGAGTGTGGAAAATGAGGTTTGGGTTACTTTATTGAACTAGTCTGTTTCTGAAGTTAAATATTTTTTTTTTGTCGTAGTGTTGCTGTAAATCTGGTGGTCCTCCTGTGTTGGTTTTTAACATGACATCCCCTTTGAGGAATGTTATCTAGGCAAAATGCAGAACTGGAAGTGAGCCACAATGACTTCCTCTAATTGTTGTGGGTTACAGAGCTGTATTTAAATGAAGTGTTCAGCTAAAGTTAATGCTTTCACCGATGGCAAACCTTAAATCCTAAAAGTAAGAGGGCAGTGACAATTCATGCTTTGTGGAAGCTTAAAAATTGACTGAAAATGGTTAATTCCTTGTATTAACATCTGACTTCTGCCACCTGGCTGAAAGCAGGGGATTTAATGGTCTTAAGAATGAAAATCCTTTTTCTTACTCAGTTTTTACACGTACAGCCAAGTGCTCAGCCCTGCCCTAAGTGCTCTGTGGCACTGTGTCCCATTGCTGCTTCCTTGCAGTGGGCAGGAGGGGAAATTTGTGGCAGGAGACCTTAATCTCGTAAGAAAAGCTGCATTTCCAGAGCAAACCTGTTGCTGTGCTGCTTAACAGCGTTTGAATGCTGTCCCCAAAAGCTCTGCTTTCTCAGGCTGACCTTGTTTGTTACCAACCTGCTTCCCTGCTTTCCAGCCCCACTGCAGGAGGGAGAAGCCAATTCCTTATGGAGCAGAGAGCCTTAGGGTGGCTGGGGTTGATACAACAGGAGCTGGAGCTTCCAGGAGCAAGAGACCAACATCAGCAAAACCAACAAGCATTCAAAGCTGGGTTCTCTGTTTCCCTTGGGTCAAGTCATGGTATCATCCACCATACATCCCACTTTGCCCAACTGTGCTGGTGTTATTTGTAAATCACTCATATTTTTGCTGGAGGAAGCTTCAGGCATGTCGTTTTTTAAACGTGATGTTTAAAAATCACCTTGTCCAGAGACTGTGCACACAGCTAGTTCTTACACAGGGCTCTTTCAGGTTTGGTTATTTGCAGAGGAGCTCTGTGCAGAGTGGGGGGGATTATCTCTGCCTGCAGATTACGCTATATATAAACTCTGTAGTCCAGATCTTGGAAAAGAGAAAGCATGTTGGGGGTGTAGTGCTGTGTATCTCCCTGTCCCAGCCATGCTGTCCTTCTTGTACCATTGGCTCGAGGAAAAAAAAAAACCCATCCAAAAGGTAGGAAGGAAGTGGCTTTTCTTAAGCACTTGAAATGAATTGTTGGTAAGAAAGCATCCGTCGAGATGTAAAGTTGCTTTTCCAAAGAAAAATAGTGGTGTGTTTTCTGAACTGCCAAGAAGTTGGGAACCTCCAGCAGTGCTGTTGGGATTGTAGCATGGAAAGGGGGGGTTGTGGATGTCCCAAGCTTATTTCTGTATTCCTTTGTATTTCATCCTAGAAAACCAGCAGATCTTCAAAATTTGGCTCCAGGCACTCATCCACCCTTTATAACTTACAATGGTGAAGTGAAAACAGATGTGAACAAGATTGAAGAGTTTCTGGAAGAAGTTTTGGCTCCACCAAAGTAAGTGTTCAAATGAGAATGTGTCACCTTAGGTTAGATGGAGTGTCCTTAGAGGGATTCCTTGCACTAATTAGGAACTTCCTTGGCATCCATAAATTGAAAATTAGGCTTTGGGAATAGTTTGGAGTTCTTTTACTCGTAAGCAGGTGGATTGTGGGTGATCACACAGAACTGATGATTACAACATGCAAATGGAAAGTAATTTTCTAACATCCAATTTCTTTATATTGGACGTGACAGTGATAAGAGTGCTTAATATTTGGAAATTATGGTTGAAAATACTGAGCACTTTTTGAGATCATTAGATTACACAGCACAAGAGTGTGAAACGTGTGGGTTCTAAACTACAGCCATGGGGCAAAGTGCAGGCACTGCCTTTAGTGTGGAAGGCCTTCCTCTTCTATTAAAAGATCTGGGGCTACAGAATGTTAGCTTGAGAAGGGTCTCCTGCAAACAGAAAGCAGGCAGGACTGTTCCATTCTTTGCCTCTTTGCTCCGTTGTGTCACAGCTCTGCTGAAGGAGCCTTTTCTTGTTGCCATGGCTTGTTTCAAACACTGCTCGAGGCAAATGCTTGGTTCAGAAAGCAGCAGTGTGCTTTTGTTTGCCTCTGAGATGCTGGCTTTCAAACTCTTTCCCTTGATGGCAGCATGGGCTGTTTCTTATAAAATGCCATTTCCTACAAGATGATACATGGTGACCATCATTCTGATTTTTGCTTTCTAGATACCTGAAACTTTCTCCAAAGCACCCTGAGTCCTACACTGCTGGAATGGATATTTTTGCCAAATTTTCTGCATTTATCAAAAATTCCAGACCGGAGGCTAACGAAGGTAAGTCCCTGCAATCAGCACTGTGCACACATTGCAGTGTTTTCTCAGTGTTGTTTACAACCCATGCAATCTTTCCATTGCATTGAGTTGAAAAACAGCTGCTACAGAAGGCGAGGAGGAAACAGTGAGTTTTACACAGAGGTATTTCAGCATTCTGTTCTGCCCTGGCAATAAATACCCTGCCTGGGTGTGTTCTGGTGTGTGTGTGTGTATGTCAGAGTGGCAGAATGGCTGTGTGCTTTCTTCTTGCTGAGAAATGCTTTTTGTTTCTGTGGGTTCTGCTGCCCTCTGCTGCTGTACGTGCAGAACCTCCACGGCTGCCTGCTCGGTTCTGCCTTGCAGCTGAGCATGTGACATTAAAGAGATTATGTTTAAATGAATAGCTTAGCTTAATGCTAATGACTTTAAGCCAGTTAGGAAAAGTCTTAAGAAACTGACATAAGCCACTTTTTAAACCAAAAATAAACACTCTTAGAGCAATTTTAAAGTGCTGCAAGCTCGTGTGTAAACCAACTTTTAGATAACGTGCATCTGTGTGATATTTAAAGGGATTCCAGTTCTGTTTCAGTGCTCCAAGTCACCACAAGTGAATTCCAAGTCAACACCAGTGTTGCTACAGAAGTTGTGCAAGGATCAGCAGCCCTTCACTGTGCCATCTGTTCTGGGGAGCACAGCGATGTGGATTTTGTATTTTAGATCTGGCGTCACTATTCAAAAGATTAATTTGCTTTGAAATTTGCTTGCTGGAGTTTGTTTCTTTTTCTTGTTCTTCACTCCTTCTTCTGTAGGCTTAGAACGTGGCCTCTTGAAAACCCTCCAGAAATTGGATGAGTACCTGAACTCTCCTCTTCCCGACGAGATAGATGAAAACAGCATGGAGGATATTACAGTTTCTACCCGCAAGTTTTTGGATGGCAATGAGATGACACTAGCAGACTGCAACCTGCTGCCCAAACTACACATTGTGAAGGTAAATGGCCTGCAGGGTGCTGCACGAGGGGGAAACACTTGTGGTCTGTGACATGCTGGAATCCAACTCCTTCCAACCGTGTGTGGGATCCCACCTAAACACAAGTGCAATATTAGCAGAAAAGAATGGTAGTAACAATGCAGGGAGCTCATTGGGGGAGGAGGGAAGTCTAGAAGGCTGGAAGGGAGGCAGCACAGTAAGTGCAGGAGGGGAGGTGGACCTGTGTAATCGTGGCTTGGTCTCTTCTCACTGCTTCCAGTGACCTTTGTACGTTTTGTACTGCAGATGGAGCCACAGATTAAGCTTCTGCCTGGGTGCAGGAGTGTTTACTTTGGTGAGGGCAGAATTAAAGGCTGTGTGAGGCAGCGCTGTCGGGTCTGGGCATATCCCAGAGGGACGGGTTCTGCAGAGTGTGAATGTGTTGGAAGAGCAACAGAGCGAGAAAAGGAGGAGAGATGGAGAAGTGCTTCGAGTGTGTCAGTTCGTAACCTAACCCTTCTGTTCCAGGTGGTGGCCAAAAAATATCGCAACTTTGAGATTCCCAAGGAAATGACGGGGATTTGGAGATACCTGACCAATGCTTACAGCAGGGATGAGTTCACCAATACCTGTCCTGGAGACAAAGAAATTGAAATAGCTTACAGTGATGTAGCCAAGAGACTTACTAAGTAAACAGCACTTGCAAAAAGAGACGACTTCTTGCGTATTCCGTAACAATGCTTCTAACAGACTGCTCTTTTCATATAAGATAGCAATTTTTTTTTTTTTTTTTTGCATGAATTTGCAGTTATTCAAAGTTATGGTGGATAGACCAGGTACAGTAATTACCTAAAGTTTGCAGACTTAATTATAGGCTTGTTTTTCCTTACCTCTTTTCATGGCAAGTCATATTATTAATGCAGTTATGTTACTATTGTTGTGGGGTGTTGGGTTCTTCAGTATGAAGAGCTCGCTTGCCCCCATTTCTTTTATTTGCAAACATTTGGTCCCTATCTACAAATTGGTCTGGGATACTGTCTTTCTGTATGGTACAAGGAATATTTATGTATTTTGGAATTTATTGCTCTTCCAGAAGATCTATAACACAGTTGTCATATGTGCAACACACCGAGCTGTACCTGTTTGTCTATCCTGTTTTCATATAGAAGGGAACTTACTCTCCAGAAAAGCCATTTGAGAACTATTTGGCAATGCTTTTAAAATAGATTTATATATATATACATGTATATTATAATTCTCTTGGATTTGAAATCACAGTAATGGTTGAGAATGGACTCACACGTGAAACTTGGATTTGAATGACCTCGAACATCAGGAAGTTTGAATCCAGGCTTGTGCACTACAGCCAGGAGCTCACGGTGCAGAGTTCACATTTAGTTGTGTCTTCAAGAACGTGGTGAGATCAAACAGCAACAAAGCAATTGACAGCTTACACTTATCCCAAATTCTCAGTTGCAGCAAATGAATGCCTGTCAGGATGCCCTTTTAACATCACGAAACCAAAAGATTTGGATGCTTGCCATCTGTTCACCTTAAGCATTTCAAGTGGCTTTCTTTTTGGTAGTTAAGAGCCTTTTTATTTTGTATAGGTCTTTCTGGTGATATTTACTTACAAATCTTTGCTGTCATAAGCAAAACGTGTAAACATGAGTGACGAGTAGCTGCTGTACGTGGTGGATAGCAGTGCAATGATGGGCGATGCAAAACTGAACGCTGAGAGCCCTTGGAGTCGGAGTCTTTCTGGGAACTTTTGTAAGCTGTCTGATTTTATGTTTGTCCTGAAGAAAGCTAAAGTGACCTTTAAAGATAACACTTGCCTTAAATTATAGCGTTCCCTTTTCTTTTTTTTAATCTGAAAGGATATCTGTTAGTTACTCCTGTAAAGAAAGGGTGCGTGGAATCCAGTCCTGTACACTAAACTCACCTGAACTGCTTTCTGTGCATCTGGATTGCAGCTTTGCATGATCGTAATCGTTGCACTACTATACCTAATCTTTTTACTGCAACACTGAGGAATAGCACTGCAATTTTTTTAAGAACCAATTTTCGAGTATTTCTAAAGTGGGGAAATAGTTTTCTTGTTTCAGATGAATGATTTTGGTGCATGGAATAAACGGCTCGGTTCTTTTTAAAAGACCACCATCAACGACTCCAAAGAACACTAGACTTATATGCCTATTTTTTTGTAAAGCTACTTTTGTATTTAACTGATTTCAGAAGCTGGAAAGTGCTATTCCTGCTCGGTTGTCCTTGGAATATTTGACATTCTGCAATAACTCAAAGGCCCTCACGTAAACACTTTTATACGCTATTATTTTTGGTAAGCCCAACTTTTCTAAGCATCCTGCTTTTGCTACTTTATATACCCGTGACATTAGCTTGATGTAGAAGAGGTAGAGTAAGAGATGTGCATTTGTACATGTGGCTTGTGGTGCCTTGTCCTGCCTTCCTAGAGCTAGAACTGCAATATAAAGGCAATTAGAAGGCCTGTTACACATCCTTCTAAGAAAACCATAGATACACTTAGACCTTACTGTGACCTGTTACAGGAGTGTTCAGGCACAGAAAGAAAATCCTGCAGAGCGACCTGGTTAGGAAGAATTAATTGTTGCCCTTTATTAGTTATTGTGTTCTGATGTCACGTCCTGCCCTGAATGAAGCTTCTCAGCCATAATGATCCTTTGTAGGGGTTCAGTCTCTGCTGCAATGTGGCATCTAGAAAAACAGATGACTTCTTTTGTCAGATGACAGCATTTGTGTTGGTACAGAGTTGGAAAAGGTTGTTGTGGTGCTCCTTGCTCGTACAGTTAGCCCTTCAAAACAGAGAATAGGAAGGGATGTCATCAGTTTGTTACATTCTGAGCTCCCCTTTAAAGCCCCGCTCGGCCCTTGGAGGCTCTGAGGCTCTAAGAGCCATTGCACTTAGCACACCTGCATGCATGTCAGCATGGAGCAGCTTTGTGCAGCTCCTGTTGTGCGTGCTGCCTGCATATCAATGCACGCAAATGCCAAACCTGCTCAAGCAGCAGCCTGCTGTCTTGTAATGATAATATATTCTCCCTCCTTTCCAGGCAATCTTCAGACCATTGTAATACCCTAGATTCAGCATGAAGTATTTTAATGATGCTGTCTGAAGGCTTGTAAACAAAGGCTCTTGCTGTAAGGAATTTATGCTTTACGTCCTCACAACGCAGCGTTGAGCATTGGAGCCTTTCTTTTAGGGACACAATTCAAGCAAGTGCCAGGTTGGTAATTCCAAAACGTGCGACAGCTGTGAAAGGACCCGGTGTCCTCGTGGCTTCTCGTGGCACAGCTGTGTGGTGCTGGGGCAGAAGTTGGCCATCAGTTGGCTTCAGCAGAGCTCGGTGGGGCACTGCCCTGCTCTCCCCCCAGGTGAGCTCTGTGTGCATCGCCGGGGTGGTGCGAAGCCTTCGCGTCTGGTGTGGGCAGAGAGCTTTCATCTGGCCCCAATCAGCAGCCTGACATTAATTAAAAAAAAAAAAAAAAGCCCTTTCATAACTATGTAAATTCTTGACTTCTGTCAACTTGTTTACAATCTGATCTTTGAATGCATTTTTAATTTCATCAAACAGCAATTAATCTAGCCCTGTTTAAATTTAAAATGATGCTCCTAGCCCCTTCTGAAGCAGTTGCCCTTTCAAGTAGGCATTCCAGTTTGCAAGCTGGCTGCATGTATTAGCACGCTGAGCAACCTCCTCTAATCCCAGCCTGAAACACTCTGAATTTTCCATTAAAACAGGTGACTTCTGTTCCCTGAGCAGAAAACCCATCTGGTTTTGTGTGGGAGAACATACGAGAGTATACGCATGATTTTCTTTTTTCTTCTAACAAAACTTTCCTTCTCCAAGAGATTCCCCGTGCCTACCCAGCTGCGGGTTGAGCGAGAGCCATAGGAACTTCTGGAACATTCCACGCTCTCTGCAGCTCTCCTGCCTGCCTGCTGCTGCTCCCTGCAGCTCTGTGTCAATGGCCCTCGTGGACAGGCAACAGCCACAGCTCTCCTACGTTTGCATTTTCCCATCAAATTGGTGGTTTTTTTCCTGCGGCGGGCATGCCCGAACCGATGGAGAGCTGCATGTCGTTCCATGATAAGAGGAGAGATGTAATCGAGTTTTTATGCTAAAGTAGCAAATTAGCATTTCATATCAAAGGAGCACAGACGTGAATAAATGGGAGATGCCTGCGCCAAACCCGCTGATGCCTATCTGAATAGAGAACAAAAAGTGGCAAAGTGCAGTCAACAGTTTTGTCCACCCTTTGCCACTCCGAGTGCGATCTGAATGCATCCCATTAACTTTTTTTTTTTTTTCCTTTTTTCAGAAGAAAGCTTTATCCCGAGTGAAAAATGTTTAATCTGCCTCAGAACCCGTGCCACTAACTCATGCTGTGTTCATAGAGGGAGGAGGGAGTGGAGCAGAATGGGTTTCAGAGACTCCCAGCACAGGGTATGGGGAATACTTGAAGAGTTGATCCGATCTGTTGTAGTTTGCTTCTGTCTTTCACCCTCTGGAACATCTTTTACAGATACCCCAGTGTACTGCTGGCAGCTATTGTTAAAAATAAAATTATATTTTCACTACCAAGCAGATCTTTCTGTTGTTATTGAGGACTTCTTGTGTGTGTTTAAGCGGTGCACCAAACTACTGGGCAAGGTCTGAGTTGATTCAGCTCTCAATCTTTGTTTTTTCAGTGCTGCTGTGACTTCAGGTGGAATACACTCCTCACATTACTGCTGGCTGTGCCTCTTAGCAAAGCAGTAGAACGGGTTGAGAAGTATTCTCCTACAGAAACCTGGAGGAGGTTTGTGTCCCCCCTCCATTTCCCACATTCTTATGGGGAAACTCTTAAGAATTTAAATTTGAGCGTCTCGTTGCTCTCCAGAATACCACATTTTCAAAGTTAAACTGGAAGAATTGATGACCGTGACAATTGTAATGTATTATTTCCATTCAGTATTATTTCCAACTTTCTTGCATCCAAGTCACCACCTCAAGAGCTGAATTCATGTCTACAGGAATCACAGACTTTGACTTTCAGTGCTCTTAGCCCACGTTTCAGCCCTGGCTCCTTACTGCCTTGTGCTTTGTAGGTATGTCTGAGCTGGCTGTAGTCAACACTGGGTGCCCCTGTTGGGGTGTAGGTGGGTGTATGGAGCAGAGACCACCAGCCAGTGGTGGAATTTGGGAGCATCGTCCCATCCATCTCTTGTCTGAGGTTTATTCAAGTCTGATTTTTCCCTTTTGAAAGGAAACCTATGGAATCCAGCTGACGTCCCCAGAGCCTGATGTCATCATGAGTGAGAGCAGGTAAGCAAGGCAGATGAAGGAAGCGGAGCCATTAAACCCTTGGTGGGATTCCATCCCTAAGGCACCATCCCAGACCCACTGCTGCCATGTACCCATCACCATCCCAGACCCAATACCATAGACCCATTGCCAAGGACTCACTGCCATATGGTGGATGTGCTGACCACGGGGGTTTTGCAGTGAGCTCTGCAGTCACTGGGGTTTGCTCACGTACACACACAACCACGTGGACCACGAGGTAGGAGAACAACGTCCTCACGTTACACACACACTGAGAGGGGATGGGGTTGAGCTATGAAGATGTTAGTGCTAAACATTCCATCTGATTATAACTCGCTGCTCCCCATTAGCTGATAGCCTTCATGCTTTTCACTGGAAACTGTTTTAAGACCTTTCATGTGACGCGTCTCGCGTGACCTTTTATGGCAAAGAGGTGGAACCGATCCGTTTTCATAACTCTTCAGTAATATTAATTGCAGCATGGAAAAATCCAGGAACAATTTTCTCATTATTTCTTCAAACAAACAAAATGCAGCGGAAAAAGGCCAAGGAAACCCTGCAGGGTCCTCCTTGGTGTAGGAATAAAGCAGCTTATCTGAGGGCAGCTGAGATTCCTATGGAAGGAGAAAGGAAAGTGGACAAACCTTTGTGTTGAGTGGGATGGAAAGGGAACTGGTTGGAGGTGGTTGCCTGAGGGCTTTTGGACACTCGTTACAAAGAAGGCTGAGCATGAGCTGAGTGCTGGATGTCTTTGCAGTCTCCAAGTCTCCAGGAGAAAGGGCGGATGCAGTGACTCACAGGTTGGGGCTGTGTTTGATTGTAGTGGTTCCCAAAGTGCTCTGTGAGTCACAGGCTTGGGGTGGTGATGGGTACATGGCAGCACTGGGTCTGGGATGGCAGTGGGTCCTTGGCAATGGGTCTATGGCATTGGATCTGGGATGGCAGTGGGTCAGTGGTGATGGGTACATGGCAGCACTGGGTCTGGGATGGCAGTGGGTTGATGGCAGTGAGTCTTGGCAATGGGTCTATGGTATTGGGTCTGGGATGGTGATGGGTACATGGCAGCATTGGGTCTGGGATGGTGATGGGTATATGGCAGCATTGGGTCTGGGATGGCAGTGGGTTGATGGCAGTGAGTCCTTGGCAATGGGTCTATGGCATTGGGTCTGGGATGGTGATAGGTCCAGGATGGCACATGGGTCTGGGATGGCGATGGTAGTTTTCATGGCCAACCTAAAGCAGGAAATGGTATTGGAGAAGGGTGAATGGTTCACAATGATTTGATGTTGCAATCCCTGGCATCTGAGAGCTGCTGCCATAGGGTTTCACTTCAGTGCGTTCTCTGCAACAGCAAGATTCCCCTGGAGCACTTGTGCCCAAGTGCTTGGGTTTGGGGTGATCTGCTGTGCTCAGCAGGAAAAGATATGAAGAGTAAAGAGCTGCCTGTCTTAACTGGGAGAGGAAAAAGAAGGTCTGCAGGTACGCAGTGCTATGCTGCTCCGGATGCACTCAGTCTTGCTGCATTCAGATCTGATGCTGGAGAGTTTCCAGAACCAGCAAAGAGAACTCATGATTCTTTTGAGTCAGGAGAAGAGCTGCTGTGTTCTTACCACTGGACAGAGAGATGAAAACGGTTGCTAAACAAAGATCAAACGTGAACTTTATAAATAAACAAACAATTGATGCTAAGGGACGTCTCAACCGCTTTGCCTACGGCAAAGGGCTTGGCAGGACCTGGGAGATGACTGTCGGTCTGCAGATGGAATTCATATTTTAAGGAGTCTGATTGAAGTGATATGGGGAAGAGTTGGGAGGCTGTGCTGCTTGAAATG